CCCATTGGGCCTCTTGTTTTATAAAAAGTTTATCAAGCGACGATTTTCTTTTCAAAAACGATTTCCAGTGCATAGTTTCAATGTTTGGCAGTGGTATAGGTATCCTTAAAGGATGACGAGAACGAGCAATGAATGTATGAAGTGTATGGAAATGATGATATAGATTCCCACCACTAGTATTACCTTATCCGCCACTCTATCCACCACTGTCTTGATTTTCTTCACCATGCATTCGTCTGCCTCCTTGACGATCGTGTTTAGGTTGAACTTGTAGCCTTTTCCTGTACCGTTGTTCGACTCAACAGCTCGCTGTATGTCAGAGAACCTCAACATCTCCGGGAGAGGCTTCAACGCCCGACGGACCTGTTCTATGTTGTTTATTGTAATGCATAGCTGTGGAGTGGAATGTTCAATGAGACATGATAGAGTTTTCTTCCATTTCCAATATTATTTCAAACATATTAAAATGGTAAGGGTAAGCCAATTTAATAAAATATCACTTATAAAAACATTTATCGTTAGGACATGAATATCTATCACAAATTATATGATCATATCTTACGATTGATCTATTTCAAACATTTAAAAAAAAAATAGAGGTAATTTATACCGAGACTTTCTTTTTAAACATAATTGAATTGGAATAGTTGAATTCTTGAAATCAATTAATAGACTTATTTACTCGAAAAGCATTATAAGTAAAAGCTGAAAACCGACAATTGCAATACAAATGTGAAACACAACAAACGTTACAGATCTAAAAACATGTTGTGTACACCTATCACAATCGTATTTTTCAAAACATTATCGTATAACGATTTCGTAACTGCGAAATTTTAACCCATGAGTAAAAATGGATGTTTTTCAGTAACATGTGTAGTGAAATTATTCCTGGTGACTTCGGGTCGAATAAAGATCTGGAACCTCTGCGTTTTTTTCTCTCTTTTAACAGATGTTGAAATCCTAGCTTGTTTTAGGTACTTTCTGGACTTTGTAAGGGCTAAGCTTAACAATGGTTGTAAATAGTGATGTCTGCCGGTGCTAAAGACTTATGAAAGTCGAGAGATAGCTCAGTTGGCCAGAGCGTTTGACTAGAATTTAAAGGGCCAAGGCTCGAGAATTCCAGTCTGACCAATTGCATTTTGCCTCTTATTTTGCATACATAAATCTCTGATATCAAGTAACTCACCTGTTCTGTGACATCAAACTGCCCAACCTCGTCATAGTAACCTTCATCTTTTAGTTTCTGGTGTATCATATCAGCGTATGTCACCGCACCTTTGCTAATGTCCTTCAAGGAATAACGTACAACAGATTTTATCAATCTGACATTGATTCCACCATCACGTTAATTATGTTAAACCTAATAATACATATGATTGAACATGTTTCTGAATATGTATTTTCATTTTCCAGGTGAAATAACGCTAACAGATTAATTGCTAAGATTTTGTTGCACATGTGAAGTTTAAAATTAATTCTGATTCTTTGCAAGAAAAGCGGTTAAGAAATGTAGTAATGTTGGTGATATTCAATTCAATTTATGCACTTTATCAAAACGACAGTCCATCCTTGAACTGTCTTTCTTCATCCCACACATCTACCAGACGTAATGCCCTTAGTCACACTCGCATAATTACTTCTCACCGAATTCGAAATGCACTAACCCCCTGAGCTATTACACGGAATGGGAAAATGTCTACCGCCTGTGTTTGGAACCCCTCGGGATAACAATCTCATATAAAAGACTAATATAACGTGAGGTAAGACTGATATTCAATCTAACATTTATAGTGTGTGTCTACCTACCTCTGACAGTTTCTGAACCAATGGAAAAGCATCCAGGAGGTCTGGCCAATTCAACTGCTTCCAAAACTCAGTCATCTGTATAATATCAACACCAATGGGAAATGAAATAACAAATTATTTTTCTTTTGTATCATTAAACGTTAGCTCAGTTTTAAATTACAGCAATAGGATTCAGCCTCACTTGCTGAAAATGAACATGAAGTAGAGACTTGGCCATATGGCAGCGTGTCGATGAGGTCAGCAAAACGACAATGACATCAGTCGTAAGAATCCATAAAATCACGTCGAATACTACGGAATGTGCGGAATTATCATAGAGACAAGTGTCATAGTACAATAAATGAAATATTTCTCGATATTCATCAGATCTTATTCCTAATGTGCTAATTTTAAGTCGTTGCTATTAGATACACAGTTCTGTTTTCAAAATCACTCGCGAGACAAAGAATGAATTAAAATCACAGCAGATGATTAACATTGATGTTTATACTTATCGTTTCAATCTTTATCGATTCATCCGTCATGATTTCATTTTTACTTTTTCTATTTTTCATAAAAATGTAGCAAAAATACAACAGATCAGCGCATGCTTACCATTACATCCATACCATTAAAATATCTGTTTTAATGTGTATTTACCTGTACAAATAACTGTTTACATGAATTTGTACATATTAAAAGAACTGGTTCGATGCGTATTTACATGTAAAAAGAACTATTTTAGTGCATTTTTACCTTTAAAATGAGCTGTTTTAATGTGTATTCAACTGTAAAAAGACCTGTTTTAATGCTTGTTGACATATGAAAAGAACTGTTTTAAAGTTTATTAACCTGTGAAAAGAACTATTTTAATGTGTATTTACCTGTGAAAAGCAGCAACACACGTCGACAGCTGAAGTACTGTACTTTGTACCCTCGGTAACCTCAGCTACCTGTTATCAAAAGATAATTTCAATAAATTATTCTGTAGTCTCCTCGAGCTCTATATAATTATACAGTATCCCTGAAAATATTGTAGGTATATGTTCTTAAAAGTAGTTGTTGTACATGGTTTCTAATCTGTCTAGGTAGTTTGTTACACAAGACTGTATCTTTTTACTTTTCATTTATTACATTGATTAAAATGATTTAAATCATTAATCATCACTATGAAGAAATGCAATGTCAATCTGGTAATAGATAGTCTGCCTTGGTCAAGAGTGTTGTATAAAGGGTCCAGATAGGAGACGTTTGATTTGATGATGCCATATCAACATTTGAAACTTAATCATATCAATATCATGTTATGACAATGATTTAGAACAAATAACTTTTTTTCTCGTTGAAGGAACATTAAGGTAAGTGAGCCTATTTATGAACATTTTGAAATTACTCCCAAAAATATTGCAGAAAAGTATTAACATATATACATATCATGACCAGTAACACTTTCGATAAGCTTCATGATTTATAATCAAAAGGTTCGATCGTGAAGATTTCGTATATAATTTTAATATTTAGTTGACGGAGAAATAACTCCTGGTAGAAATTATCAGTCTTCTTTGTTTAAGATGCAATAAAAAAAACGTTTGGACTCTCCTTCCTTAAGTGGCCCTTGTTGAATACATAACTCACACAAGAGACACTACGTAAATAATACGTTACATTTCAACTGTCCATAAAGAGGTTACATGATCACTGGTGACATTTTAATCAGTGGACATCAATTTTGCTTGACTGTAACCAATTTAACCGGCACTTGGAGGGTTTACATAATATATATGCACTGACCTTGTCGAGTTCCACTGCCTTCGTGATTCTCTGCAGCGATTTCTGTCTAGCAACCTCTATCCAATTTGCCGCGACAAACCGGAACCATTGGTAATATTGCACAATCTGAACATTTCTTTGATCTCTAGAATAAAATTCCAAAAATAAGAATATTACATTTTTGAAATTAAGAAATCTTGATGTGATCTGTTACGCTGTAAGTCGAATATTTTCGAGAGAGCAGGCTTATTAAACAATCCGCTGTCTTTTTCATCCACATAAATCAGTTTATTATACATTATAACTCTCCAAAGCGATCATCTTTGCTTAGAGACCACTTCTGAACAAGCCTCCCTTGTATGGTCTCTAAAAAAATAATCAACATTTTGATATATGATTGGAAAATGAAATTTGCACATGATTCAATACTGACTGACGTTTTAATTGAACTATTTCAA